AAAACCCCATTTTTTTTTTTTTTTTTTTTTTACCATTTGGACATTTCAGATAGTTGAATGGTCAAAGCCACATCCAGCCTTCATCTGTTACCTAGCCACAGTTACAGAAGTTTAGTGTAGAGCCCCCACCGATAAAGATCTTTCCCATTCCTAAATCAGGCTGAACTTCCCACCTAAGTAAAAGTGCCACCAGTTGTTCATACAGCAAGAGGTGGTAAATATTTTAGATTAGTGTAACTATTTTCCAAGCAATTCACTTGTTATCTTACTTACACACACAGGCACCTATTCACACCAGGTAAAGCTATTTAAAACAAAAGAAAACTCAAGCATCAGAAGTCTTGAATTCTCATTTTCATACCACCATGGAGGTCATGATTATTTTCTTCACTAGACTTTACTTTTTCTGTAAGGCACAAATTCAGATTTGAGGCAAGTTTGGGAGGCCCCCACAATTTAACAAAGTTGCTACTGCTTTTATGTGAGAAAAGTGTAGAAAAACAATTTACATTGTGTCTGCTGTCTAGATGAGTCTGCCTATTATTTAAGGCCTTAGCCTCACTGAGGGCTGGATTCTGCAAGGCATTAAGCAATCAATTCCCACAGGTTCTGATGGGAAGTGAGGCATTTCTGCACTCCTAAACTGAGCCCATGGCTGACCCAGATGAGGTCTCAAGATCTGCCCCATTCCTTCTCCCTCTGGTGAATATCTTCATTCTTATACAATGCCAAACAATGGCCAACTTTTCTAAGCCAGACATACTAGAGCACTCCAAAGGGAACTCTATTAACTCCATTTGCAGTCCTGACACAAACTTTTCCAAGCAGAGTTAAACTTTGACTTAACACTGTGCTGATAAGCTGGTACAATGCCTCAGGGTTTGTTTGCCACCCTGGTTTGTTACATTCCAGTCCCACTGTCCAAGTTATGCCTTAACGTGAACAACGGGCAGCTGGCTTACTGCTTCTCTGAGGAGAAAGCACTTCTGTTTTCAAAGATCCTTTTTCAAGAAGTCAGAGAACTTTACTGGATTTTGGTGCCAATAAATTATATGGAGGAAAACAACTTTCACTTGAAATGCAAAACTGCTCAGCCAAAGTGCTGAGGCAGAGAAATTACTTTTAAAAGTTGGCTAAGAAGTAATCTAATTATGTGACATTTTCCATAAGACAGATAGTTTTCTTCATCTGTTTACTGCCTGAAGATGCTTTACGAACATCAAGATTCTGATTAATTGTTCCCTCTGCATGAAAGCAGTGTGTATCCCAATAAAATGCAGAGCAGCCTTGACCCTTTTTGTTATCAAAAGGCTTTACAGCACTTTGTAAGATTGGACCCATTTGAAGGGACGGAAAAAGAAAAGATGGGTGAAAAGAGCCTGGTGCAGCCAAAATCCAGTCTCAGCTCTAATGAAACAGAGAAGGAGCTGAACACAAAGTTAAGGCAGGGTGTGAGTTTTGCTTTACTTACATAGGGAGTCCTTTCTCCAAACTGGCTATAGAATGTCATTTTGACTTTGTGCTTATGCCCAGTTCTCTGATCAAAGGTGTTGCAGCAGTCAAAGGGTGGGCTGTACAAATGCAGACTAACAGCAGATTCTGTGTGGCTTGTGTTTTCCACACGGTGCAGGCCAATGGAGTCTAGACAAGCAAAGACATGAAAGAAAGGGTTACATTAGTATGAGGATCTAATAAAAATCTTATCACTATTTGGAGAAGTGCCATTAGTACTGAAAGTGATGAATAAAATACACCCACGCTTAAGGGCCAAATTTGTAACAGTGGAGGGAATTTGTTTTTTATTCTCTACAACAGATTACTAACTCTTGGGATTTCAGACGGCTTTGCTTCGTTTGACTTTTCACATGACTCATTTGTTACCTACTACAGAACACAGGCCAACAGCAATCTATGATCGGTTAAGGAAGAACACACTGTCGGTAAGTTATTGGCTGCTGTCCCCAAATAAGTTCAAGGTTATTTTCTTTCCTAGGAGACACTGGTGCTTTGAAGAAGCTGAAAGGTTTGTTTTTCCAAAGAATCAAAAACAAGACATTTCAGAAGGGGAGAGGATTTTGTAGCACTAGTTTTCACCCTGATAACAAGGACATCAGTCACACTGAGACCGGGCTACTTGTATTTTGAGTGTAGACTCATGGGCAAGGAGACAGTTGTTTTCTTCTGCAGTCATCTGTCTTCAAAATGCTGTTTCCAATATAGAATAGAACAGTCTCTTCATTTGTCTGGCCTTTTGATTAAAGTGACAAATTACCAGTGTGTGGCATGCATCCAAACTTAGTTCAAATAGCAAATATAATTGGACAGATAATAAAACAAGGCACTGTCTGTTGAGTGGCTATTAACGAGATAATGGGACCACATTCTGGGGCTAAGAAAACTGAAGGTGTTACAAGGTACACAATGTATGAAAATTAAACCTACAAAATTCCCCTCATTTTGATTCAATATGAAAGTAAAGGTTGTAAATAGTCCATGATTTTAAGTTAATGGTTCCCACAGCAAATGCATAGCAAGTACATGTGTGACAGTCAGGCTTTAATTGTGTCATGCAGTCAAGTCTCAGTTACTAGGGAAAACACGGGAGCTTTCCCAGCTTTGGTACCTTTCAAATACTGACTGTAGCATCAATGCAATTTATTATATTCACATAAGAAAAAAAATCCCTAAATTCACATTCATATCATAAGAGTGTCAAACAGACTTACTCATGTGGGTTTATAACACCATAATAGCAAAGTGAAGAAACAGCCAAGTCACTTCTCTGTGCCAGTACTGCTTAAATTACAGTATGCAAATATTCAAATAGAAACAAAGATGTGATGGCCTTGTTAAAGAGTAAGATAATACATTATGAATTCATAATATTATGCTTTCTTTAACTTGCAACTTTTAAAGCAACTCCCCCGCCAAAACAAACAAAAACAAACAAAAAAAATCAGAAAAAATGAAGGCACATGTCAGAGAACTGTAAGTCATGTCTGAAGCAATTTAGTTGTTTAAAAAAAGAAAGATAAGCAGTTGGCATTCAAGATCATACACCCATAAAAAAGCGTGATTGTTTCTGACAAAAACTTCCTGTTGGCGGGAAAAAGGAACCTAAACAATTGACCAGATTGCTATTCCCATCATTCTCTTTTGTGGCCCAGGTCCTCAAAGGCATTTATGAAAATAACCCCCACCTGATTTCAAGGGAGTTAGGCATCTAAGGGTCAAATCCACAAAAGGACTCAGGTATATCAAGACTGAGTCTTGGCAACACTTATGCATAATTGCTGTGTGTCCAGCTCCTGAGGGGAAATTTGCAAACCTGAGTTAGATGCTGAAGTTCCTTTTCGTAGATATGGCCCACACATCCACCTCTCCCATTTCATAAAACCACCAGACTAAGGACCAGGTGAGGGTGGGGAAACTCTCTACCGCTTCCTGTCAGATCTGTGACACTGTTCAGCCAAGAATTCAAGATTCCTGGGGCCGGATAATGAACAAGAGGAACATGACTGTTGACCATGACTGGTAATTTGCCTGAAAGGAAGAAGTCTTGGGTTATCGTCTATGCCCTAGAGATTACTCACTATTTTCCAATGAAGAATAATTAAACAAGATGCACAAAACAGAGGCCAGAACCCAACACTCTTTGACACAGGCTTTCCTCATTGGGCTACAGAGTCATGCTTCCCCGTAATTAGTTTCCCTTTGGCTTTGTGAACTTTGAATCCTTTGCATTGCATCAACAGGAGAGAAGAACACCCCATTCTAGCCAAGGCCCTATTGTGGTGGTTTAGACACTCTCCAGGGAGGTGGGAAATGATGGTTGGAAACCCCCTAGGCTGAGGAGGGCACTGAACCTGGGTCATTATACAGTAAGCCTGGCACCCCCTCTTTTCAAATGGAAGTGACAGCTGCTATGTTCGGTGCCAAACTCAGTCCTGTCTATGTGGCATGTTCTAAACACTTTTGGTCGCTCAAGGTACTTAGTTGGAGGGATGCCTTCTCTGTGATTTCCAGTCTCAGGTGTAAGCTGGGTGCTAAGATACACAGCTCAGCCCAGAGGATGGTGTCTCTTAGCATGTGCAGTTACAGAACTTTAGGGGTTGCAGGAACTTCACTGGGAAACATGTAAGTACACAGTGACTTCCAGGTGTCTAAGTGGTTTTGGCAGGGTTTGCATGGATCGCTTGGACTTCAGCACTTAAATTCTGCCCAAGTTGCTCTTGGCTGGTAGACTTAGTAAGTGATTAAGCTTCCTACTGTAGAACAAAGCCAAAGACTATTCATAAATGCAACTAAGTATTTCTATATGAACTTAGTGTTCTCTTGCTTTTACTGATTGGATTTACCTGTACTTTTATTTTAAGTTGTGTGCTTACATGCATTTCCTAACACTTATTTGTGGCTGATTCCTAAAAACTTGTAAGTATTAAAGAATTGTTCAAGAGCTTAAAGGATCAGGCCTTTCCTCCAGTCTCCTTAAATGAATTGAAATGAATGAAGGGTCTTTTAGATTAAGTATTAACACAGGTATGAGGGGACTTTAAATAACTGTTTCCCAAGCAGGATGTACGGACGCTGATATGTGAGAGAGTTAAATGTGATATAGCAACCTAGTTAGGCAGGTTTCAAAAGGAATTAACTCTTTTGTTGAGTTAGAATCACTGATTTGTAGCAAGAGAACTGTAGTATGTAAAGCACTCAACTATCTTACCGTTGATGTAGGCACACTGATTTTCCCTCAGAACTCGTTCCGATTTCTTAGTCATCTCGCCAGTCCCCTTTTTCCCAGGCCATTCAAATAAAGTTTCCTTTAGATTCCCCTGAAGGATCTTCATAAAGCAGTGCGAATCAGTGTGATCATGGATACTGCTATATATACAAAGAATAACAGCACTCAGTGTGATGTACATGTTTAATTTCACATGCTAGAAATACAGCAAATACCCTGTTAAACTGCAGATTATAACAGAATTTCCCAACTGGTGTGCCATCAGGCATGTCCAGGTATGCTGCGGCATTTTGAGCTGAAGCCATGCCTCCTGCCTGGCTAGAGTCATGCCTCACACCTGCTGCTGCTGTGGATGCAGACAGACAGGGAAAGTGGCTCCAGCCAGGCAGGGGGAAGGGCTCCAGCCCAAAATGACGTCCAGCTGGCTGCGCAGCACTCCTCCCAGTTGGTGTCTAGCTGGCTGTGCACCATACACCCCCTCCCCGCCCCCCGGTCCGGTGTGCTGCAGTGCTTTTTTATTTAGGTAAGTATGCTGTGGGGTGAAAAAGGTTGGGAAATGCTGGATTATAACATTATGGACAAGAGATCTTGGTTTTGCACACTTCTCACATTATCAAAAGCCCCACAAATCTTAAAGAACTATTTGCTGTGAGTCAGCTAAGGCTAATGTATTATTTCAATAATCTAGCAATTCACAGCAGGCCTAGAAGTACTTAGCAGATAACTATCAGTGAAAGCATACTTAAGAAGAGGTAAAGTCTAGGGAAGAAAGCCTGCCTATGGGGAAACAAGAGGGTGCTGAGGGTTCTAGCAGACATAGCTAGTTGCAGGCTAGCAGGAATCTAATAAATGTGCAGATCCATACCTCTCCCTAGGAGAAGGGGCTTTCTAGCTCTTCTCCATCTCCATGACCTCTTAGCTGGTGTCACAGGCATGAGGTACACAGATGAAAGGAAGTTTCACTATTTCCCAGTGGTTCTAACAGCATCAGTAAAACTGACCAGACCAAGCTCTTAATTTCACTCACTTAGGAGAACCTGGGCATCAGCAAGGGTGCTGGGACTGTTTACCTCTTTACTCAGAAATACTTCTGGAATACTATATTTGTAGCCAAAAGGGTAACAAAGGTGATTTAATTAAAGAAATCAAAGCTTCCTTGCTGTAAAACCAAATGGCTTTAGGACCCAGGCCTCCCAAGAGAAAGCTTCCTACTCATCCCAACAAATGGATGTGTTTTGAACCCTGATATACAATGTTTAATGCAGAGGCATTCAGTGCTTATACACAACAAGTGCTGTCCAATAAGAACAGACATCGTACAGCTTTTGATTTGCAGGAAGCCCAGGGCAGGGCTTGTTTTTTGGCATAGGAAAAACTCATGAATGCCACGTAGTCACTCCCTCAGCAATCTCCTCTACTAAATCCTGGTAACAATTTGATCCTACTTATTTAGACAGTGAAACCAAACTGTGGTATCATTCCAGTCTCCAGCAAATGCTTCTCTAAGCCACAAACATAGTTTGATTTAAATTACAGTCTCTACCTAAGAAAACCCCTGTAACCATAGCTGGTGGGCTGCAGGTCTAGACAGTACTTTTACATCCATTTGGGGAAGTCTGCATGACACCTTCCCAATTGGTATCTAGCAATATTAGTTCATTTGCACATTTAAAACAAATGGATAATTTTCTCCTTATGTGCAGAACAAATGACCAGCAGCCAAATCCTTGCCCCCACAAAAACCTCCTTCCCCCTCAACCCCCCCTCCCTCCACAGGCTCTTTTTAAGCCAGCAGCGCTGGGAAAGGAGTAGAGAGGGACTGATCCTACTGCCACAGGCTTGTACAATCTAACAGGTTGTATCTCCATCAAGGTTTGCTCTACAAAAGGAGAAATAATGTGTGGAATAGATGGAGGAAGGTCCTGTGTCTCAGGGCTCTGAACGGGCTTCAGCGACTAAGGTAAGGGCTATGATTGCAGATCCACTAGGCAATTTCCCCAGACTGGTCACAGCAGCTGCAAAGGCAGATATCACAAAATGGCTGTGAAAGCAGCAAACAGCACAGCTGGAAAAGGATTCCACTCCTCTCCAAACTCTAAGCCTCCTTATCCCTAGTCTATTTTCTTAATCTAGCCTAACAGATTAAATTACATGGAGCAATGAAAAACTACATGAGATTTATTCTGCAGTACAGACCTGATCCTCCAGGGCATATTCAGGCAGAATTCCCCTTAAAGACAAGAGGGGTTTACTGCAGGTTCCTGTACATTTAAAAAATAATAATCTAAAAGATAGAAACTTCAAAAATACCCTAAAATCATAATATTCTCATTATCTTTTTGACACAGCAATCCATTATCACTATTAATGTTTGTAATGATCAGGATTTTGCCCTCTACCTGTTTTTTATGATACAACAATGGCACAATCTTACAACGGACCAACTGAAAACTTGTGTGCCTTTCTTTTTTTTCCTCTCTTTAAATCAAGATCTTTGGATACAAACCTGCCATGCCCTTCAGCCCAGCATAAGACCATCAAGTTGAACTTTCCATTTCCTTTATCCACAAGATTTCTTGTGTACCTGGAGTAGGAAAAAAATTGTATATTTTTAAAATACACATAACATATAAAACCATACATTATGCATTTGAATACAAAATGTAAAGACTACAAGTATGGTACATCACAGTATATAGGGTCTGTTTCCCTTGGAAGAAAAGCTGTATTTAGAGAAAGCGAAACTAAATGTTAATTGTTTCTGCCCATGTATTTTTTCTGATTGGAAAAAATGAGACAAAATTCACATATTTTAGCACCCACCCAGCTTTTGGTTTACATCCATCAGTGGGATTTGGAAGCTGTGGATCTGAGATTGAAGAAAGGATAATATCAGAATAGTTGCTGAATGAAGTCACTCCAGCAGCAAGCTTATAATTAGAAACAGATTACTGCCATGAAGAAATGAAAATAAAGAGTGACATTCCTCTACAGCTCATTTTCAGAGATTCCTGGCTTTCCTTTCTGTTGAATGGAGCTCCTTTGCATGAGGACAAAAAATAATTAAATGTAGGGATTGCCATAAACGGTATAGGTTACTATTTTGTGGAAAGTTCTGTTTGTACTTGTAACATTTTTGTACTGATAAAATACCTACATAGTTATGTCTGTCAAACATTTGCTCCCAAAACAAAGTCCTGTATGATAGAATATGCTAAAAATGTTTCCCATAATAAGATAAAATAAAAAGGCATAAAGAAGTTTAGTGTTTAAAAACATTAACTAATAGGTTATTCTAGGGTATTTGCCAGTCTCAGGACCTCTTGTACCCACAGTTACACAGTTGACTGTTTCCTTGTGCTCTGGTGTTGATCTATACATATCAAATGGTTGACTATTGTCCTGCATGTATTATCTTCCTTTCTAAGGCAAGGACTGTCTTTTTGTTCTGTGTTTGTACAGTACAATGGGATCCTGGGCTGCTGGAAGCTATGGCAGTACAAATAATAAAGCTCTTCACCCTCTTTGTAACTGAAGGCCCAATCCTGCAAGTGCACACAAGTATCTTTGGTCACACAGCTAATCTCACTGACACTACATAGCATCAATGCAAAGCAAATGCTTATGTCCTTGTGGAACTGTAACTAAGTAGTATGAGAGACTATAACAAAGTGACACACCATTTTCTCAGTCACTGATAGACTGTGGAAGATTTTTACTGGCATGCAGGAGGAGGAGGTTTTTTATTTATGTTAACTAGCTCTTTGTTTTACATACCTTCCCCATGAGATGGCTAGGTTTATTTTTCCAAGGGAAGATGGTGTAACAAATTATTTTAATTTGATCACATTTTCTTTTACCTTCATTGCACTAAAGTTAGTTCCTTTACTTTCTCTCATTGCACTTTTACCTTCTGTTGTATAGATACAACTTTCCCTTGTATGATGTTGGTATTGGACCAAATGTTTCATAATCTGTTATTTCTGTGCTGCATGAGTGACTGGTCAAGAGGGAGGTCATCATACAGATTTCTCATGTTACGAGTGTTATAACAGAACACAAGATTGAAGTGTAGAAATGAAGATTTTTGAATGAAAAAAAAGTCAAAGTGAAAAAAAATAGAACTGATCCAAGATAATGTTTTCTTCATAAAGGGAAAAATAGAAAGGAACAAAATGTAAAAGTGCTGAAACAAAATAGACAGCTGTAAAAACAGATTACAAGGTATCAGACACAAGAAAGAAAAAAAGATAAATAAAGAGCAACTTAAATTCTTAACTAATATTATACTTCCTACCCTTAAGTAAGAGTATAACAAAAAACACTACTCCAACAATATCTACAGAGACTAAGAGGAAAGAATTAAAGGAATTAAAAAAAAGAAAGGGCAGGATGCTACTTATCACAGCCAGGCAACAAGACACTACATCCAGTTACCAAGTAAACAGAAAATCAAGGGTCCAATAAAACCCTTCTGTTTTCCCTAATCTATGGTAGACACGGGTATATTTATGTACACATACCATGATGGTCACCAACTAAATGAAAGTGCCTGTATCTGTGTGAATACAAGAACTTGTATTAAAGGGCTGAAACAATCTGAGAGTCAGTGTATTACTGGGTAGGGTGGCTTTGAGCTTAAAGCATGTGACTGACATTCAGAATATCTACATGGTAGTGTAAGAGTAATGTTGCCATGATGGGGGGAATTTTGCAAGATGTAAAGATTTCTTAGGGTGATAACTACATAGTTGGTTCAATAAAAGGTAAGATAGTCAGACATTCTAAAATAAAATAAAATAAAATAGCTGTTTTTAAATTGCATGTTAGGTGCCTTTCTAGATACAGTTCCTGATTCTGACAGAACTAGCCTGTGTTAAATTGCATAGGGTGCCTCTATGCTGGGAACTGTCAGCCCACCTCTCCCAAAAATGCAGATCTGCCTCAGTCACACTCTCCCCTGTGGGCAGGCAGAGTGCAGTCAGCAGAGGAAGCGCTGCCTGGAGGTAGAACTCCTGCACCTTGCAATGGAGCTGCGCTGATTCTGGGCTGAGTGCCAGGCCACATCTCTGTGCCTCAGTCCTTGGTCTCCAACACGTGGCTGACACCTCTCCTCCCATGCAGCGAGATCAGACACTGCTGAGAACCATGGCGAATCCAGTGCAACAGCATAGGTCAGAGGTGCCAAACTCATTTGGCCCCAGGGGCTGGATGAGTGGTGTGGGACTGGTCCAGGGGTCAGCCCCACAGGCCACCCTGGACCACCAATACACACTCCAAACCCTGCATGCCAAATCTAGCTTGCTCTGGGACCCACAGCGTCCCAGATGGGCCGCAGCAGGGTGCTTGAAAGCAGCTTGCATCCTGAACCGGCCATATCACTATGGTACTGGATCTGGGTCAGGGAGGGGGGGCAGGACTCCTAAACTGGCCCGGTGCACATGGCTCCATGTGGGCATGAGGCAGGTCCGACACACGCTGCGTGGGGCTCATCTTGAGACCCAGGGCCAGGGGTCGGGGGCTGTATCTTTGACAGCCTGGGGGGAGGTGCCTTCCCGTGCACTGGGGAACGGCAGGAAAGGAGCGGAGGAGGCAGGGATCTAGCCCCAGCCCCAGCCAGGGCACTGGGTTCCTCCACCTCCCTCCTGTAAGAAGCGTCATGTGCCCAGTTTATTGGGGCTACAGGGGTCCAGATAAAAATAATCGATGGACTTTTAGCCCGTGGGGGGGGCGGGGGGAGAGGAGGGAGGCAGCCGGTACCACTGCAGGCACGTGACGCCCGCCCCGGGCTCTGCCGCAGCCAGCAAACAAGCGACGGGAGGGCTAGCCCGGCTGTCACCCAGACCGGGCGCTAGGCTCGGATTGGGCGAGCGGACAGGGGTGTAGCTCGGGGAGCGCCCTGATTGGCTGCCGGAGCCCCTCCTTCTCCCTGCCTCTGCACAGCCCGCGGTGGGGCAGCCTGGAGCCCCCGGTGGGGAGGAAAGGGGGGTGGGGGGCGGAGCGCTGGAGCAGCAGCGCCCCCCGGGGAGGCACAGGGAAAGCTGCCGCCGCCGCCCTGCAACAGCCCCCTGCTGCGCTTTGTCTGTAGGGCACCGGCACCGGGCGGGTCAGCCCCACAGGCGATGGAGAGCGGGGGGAGCAGGGGGAGACGGTCCCGCTCCGCCCGGGCGCGGACGGGCCCCCTCACCTGAACTGGTCGAACTGGGCGAAGCTGGCCCAGTCGGCGGGGTCGCTCTCGTAGGACTCCATCAGCGCCTGCACCTCCTCCACGTTGACCTCGTCGCCGGCGAAGAGGCGGTGCAGGATCTGGACCAGCTCGTCCAGGCTCCGCGCCTTCCACACCTGCGTCTGCTCCATCGCCGCCCGCTGCCGCTGCCCGCTCCCCACGCGCCGCGCGCCGGCTCCTGCTCCCAGGCTGCGCTCAGCGGCCGCCGCCCCTATTTATGGGGAGCTCCGGCGGGAACGTACCAAGTGCCCGAGGAGGTGGGGACTGACACGCGGGGGAGTTGCCCGCAGCGGATCCAGTGGCTGGCCCGGCCCGGCCCAAGAGCGGGAGCCCCCTCCCACCCTCTCCAGGCGATGGCCCTCATCACCCACCCACACGGCTGCCCTCTCCCTGGGCCGCATCCCAGTCCCACCCGGTCTTTAATGGCAGGGGAGCCGTTTAGGAGTGGGCTCACACACTCTCTCTCTCATTTAATATTAACACGCACACACTTTATTAATATTAACCCTCTCTTTGGTACGATATTAATCATCTTCCTCACTGTCCCTTCATAAAAGCATCACTTCCAGACGTTGCACGGGTGTGACACAAGGGTCCCTTTTTCTCTCCTCAAACAAAGGGAGGCGGAGGTGCCACATCTTGGGGCACACAAGGCTCTTTGGGTAAATCAGAGATCTTTTATTAGACCAACTCACATAGTTGGCAAACTTCTCAGCAAGTTTTTGGGTTTAGATGCCCTTCGTCAGGCTGAGGAAGCATCTGCATAAAATAAGAAGTTTGCCAACTATGTGAGTTGGTCAAATAAAAAGATCTCGGATTTAACCTGGTCTGCTTATGTCCTTAGACCAACACCACTACGTCCTACACCCCTGTCACATACTGGCTCAAGGGCAGTCAGAGGGCTGGGGGAGAGAACGGAAAAATGAGGGTTAGAAGGGACCTGAGGAGTCATCTAATCCAACCTCCTGCTTGAAGCAGGACTGTCCTCAGCTGTATCCTCCCAGCTCAAGTTTTGTCTCTCCAAGTCTTAAAAACCTCTAAGGATGGAGATTCCACCACCTCTCTGGGCAGCCTGTTCCAGTGCTTTACTACCCTCCTCAAGAAAGTTTTTCCTGATAGCTAACCTCAGCGTCCCTTGCTGCACCTTGAGACCGTTGCTCCTTGTTCTGTCATCTGCCACCACTGAGTCCAGCTCCGTCCTCTTTGGAACCACCCTTCAGGTAGTTGAAGGCTGCCATTTCACAGTCCTCTTCTCCAGACTAAATAAGCCCAGTTCCCTCAGCCCCTCCTCAGAAGGCATGTGCCCCAGCCCTCTAACCCTTTTTGCTGCCCTCTGCTGCACTGTCTCCAATTTATCCACATCCTTTCTATAGTGGGTGGCCCAAAACTGAACACAGTACTCCAGATGTTGCTGCTCCAGTGCCAAACAGAGGGGAATAATCATTTCCCTCAATCTGCTGGCAACACTCCTACGAATGCATCCCAGTATGCCGTTAGCCTTCTTTACAACAATGGCACACTGTTGGCCCATATTCAGCTTATTGTCCACTGTAACCCCCAGGTGGCTGTCACTGACAGAAGGGGGCATCCAGCATCTCCCTCCTGCTCTTGGATGGCCTCTCCGTGGGCACCTTCTTCCCCTGAGGCCGAATGCAGGGTGTACAAGCAAAACAGGAATGCAAATGAATGACATTCACAGATGCTTTAGGTACTTCAGAACAAAGAAGGTGAAGCTTCAAAAAAACTTCCAAGCAAAAATAAATAAAAGCTGCCACCTGGGTTAACTTGAAATAAAGCTTTAAAAAAAAAATCTTAGGTTGGATTTTTTTCCTAGAAAATGTAAGTGGAATAAGGATATCTAATGCATGCAGAAATGTCCTGTACCAGACTACATTAACAGAGGTTACTTATGTTCTTGAATCTTTAAAACCACAAATACAGTCTGATTCAGTTCAGTGGAATGGCTTGTGTCCATTAGTACCATTAGTATCTATAAAGTGGCTGGCATTCTATAAATAGGATGCACGTTTGCCATGATTTTTGCCAGAATTTCACCTTTAGAAAAATAAAAGTACTGTATAGATCAGATCTTTAGGCCTGACAGATAGGACTGATGATTGTTATATTGCTCATTAGCTGTTGCATGGGGTACTGGCGCTGCACTAATCTAGCCTCTGCACTATGGAGTCAACAAAACATAACCTTTTTTGTGATGAGGATGCATTTTTCCAGGGTGATGATCATTCCTCTAGTTTATCCAGGTCTTTCTGACTCCTAACCCTACCCTCCACGGGGTCTACAGCAGAGGTGGACAAAGTCCAGCCCTTGGGCCGGATCCAGCCAGCAGTGGACTCCATTTCCCAGCAGCCCCTGCCCGCATGGCTGGGGCAGGTCTCTATGCAGACACCAGATGCAGCTGCCCTCTGATAGCACAAGGCTGGGGTTGCCACGGAGGTTGGCCCCAGCCCTGCTGGCAGGGCACGGCAGGGCAGGGCAGGGCAGGGCAGGGCAGGGCAGGGTGGGGGGCTGCTCCGGAGCTGCTGGGATCAGGGCAGCTGCAGTCAGGGCCAGGACAGAGCCGCTATCTGCAACCTGCGCACCCCTGCCCTGGTCCCGACTATCTAGTTCTGACTATGCGTGAACGCATATATACAGCATTCATAAGGTAGAAACAATTCTACTACAAAGCAGGCAGAAAATAAACCTCCGCCTTGCTATCACAACACAGCTGCAGTTGGGGTCTCCATGGAGACCAGCCCCAGCCATGTGGGTAGGGGCTTCTGGGAAATGGAGTCCAGCTGCTGGCCAGATTCTCCATTTTGCCCACCCCTGGTCTACAAACTCTAGCCAACTTGGTATTGTCTGCAGATGTATTAAATGTTCACTCAATTTCAGCCTTCAAATCATTAATTAAGATATTAAACAACAGCAAACCCAGGCCAGATCCCTGGGAACTCCACTTGATACCTCCTCCCAGTAGACATCAAGCCATTGATGACTACCAGGGGCAATGCGTAGGGGGTGCACGTGGGTGCACGTGCACCCCCTGAGTGCGGCGGTGCACCCCCTGCAAAAAGGTGCCGGTGTTCCGTGATCCCCACTGGGTGGTTGCTGACCCTTGGTTGGTGCTCATCACCCCCCTCCCCACCGCCCCCATGGCATCTGTGGGAGCTCCCAGTTCACCGCCACCGTGCTTCCACTGCTCTTAGCACCGCCGTGCCCCACCCCCAGCCACCAGGGGCACATGCCATTCATGATGACTACTCATTTAGCACAATGATCAAGCTAGTTATGTATTTATCTTACAGTACTTTCTTCTGGTATGTATTTCCTTAGCTTGCTAATGAAGTGTCATTGGAGACATTGCTTATCATATCATTGTTGAGGTGTTATTTATCATCCCAAGTTCTTTACCAAAAGCTTTGAAATGGCTCCCTAGCATTTCTTGAAGGCCTTAAGGTGGCTTCCTGATCTGACCTGATCTTTTTCCAATTCATTCTTAGCCTCTCTAGCCAAGATCCACCAGACAATGGTGGATAATTCTTTGAATCAGATATAAGACTAAATTGACCAGGGGTTGATCCAGAGGGGACATGTTGATGTGGTTGCATTCCCTTTTCCACATTGTATGTTGGCAACTCCCATTCCTTGCTACCCCAGACATCTGGATCCCTTGTAGAGTCTGGCCTACACCATGGGAGCAGCAGCAGGGACATCAAGTCCCTAAAGCAAGTAAGAACCTGCCTGACATCTGATTAATCATGTACCTGCAAGACTTGACCTTTTATACTTTTCTTCTGCAGCTCCCCACCCCCCCACCTTATTTGCCCTTTGTCTTCCTAATTTCCAGCCATTTCCTTTTTCACAGCCAGCTTCTTTTCTACCTTGAATTCCACCACTGTAGAGTCTCCCTTACTCAGCTTTGGCTTTTTTCCCCCTGTTTCCTCCCCACTTTCCTGCTTTACCTTTCCCCCCCTAATTTCTACTTATTTACATTCTCTTTGACATCCTGTCACACTTTTAGTTTCTCTCATTCCTTGAAATCTCAGAACAGCAGAGACTTCCTATGTCTGACCATGCCCGAAAGCTTGCTAAGAACTTTTTCCAACTACTCAGTTGGTCTAATAAAAGATGTCACATCTACTCAAAGAACTTCACCTGCCTATGTCCTTAGACTAACACGGCCCCAAACAAAAACCCAGCAACATGGATCAGTCTATAAAATTCATGGACTCCTAACTGAGTTGAACCATCACCTGAAATACTCCCTTTGGGGCACAGGCAGTGGAAAGGGGGTGGGGGGACTAATGGGGCTCAGGCCCCCCAAATGCCAAGACAGCTCAGCTGCAGACTGCTGCAGCAGAGGGGAGGAATGCACTGGGATCACAGTCAGCGCAACACAGCATGCCAGTAAGTTTCTTTTGACTGCCTGGGCTTGGGGGAGGCAGATCGAGACCCCCACAGTGCAGGAGGGAGCAGAGTAAGGGCAGAGGCGAATCATTCACCCCTGCTCCACTGTGGGGATTGCCCCATGACCCAACCCGACCCAGCTGGGGAATGGGGCCCCGCCTGAACCGGGTCATGGGGCAATGGGAGCCTGGTGGCTAATCCAGGGGCATGGGTGGGTGGCTCCCACCACTGTGCACACCGTGGGGGAGCCAGAGAAGGGGGCATGTTCTCCTCCCCCTGGCTCCCCTGCACTGCACCCCTGCATGAGATGCTGGGCTCTGATTGCCCCACAACTAGCCCAGCTAGGGCTCTGTTCATGGTGAATGGGGTCCCAGCTGGGTCGTGGGACAGTCAGAGCCTGGCGGCTCCTCCAGAGCCGTGGCATGGGGTAGCCAAGGTAGGGAGGCCAGCTGTGGCCCCCAATCTTTGCACAGGGCAAGGGCAGACTGCAGCTGCGCTCTGCCTGCTCCTTCCCTCTGTGCTGTTCTGAAGCCTTTGAAAGTGGCGCCACCTGGTTCATTCAGCAGCGGGACGCACATGGTACTGAGCTGCTTTCAAAGGCTACAGCAAGGCACAGAGGTGGGGAGCAGGCAGAGCGCAGCTGTAGCCCACCCTTGCCCTGTGCAAAGATTGGCTCCCCAGTGCTGTGGTTCTGGAGGAGCCATCAGCTCTTCCCAGGGTGGGGTGGGTGTGGGTGTCCCAGGGGCTTTGTCTT